CCCATTTTTGCTAATTGTACATTAAGTTGTTAAGTCGATAAAATAACAAATTGGCCAAAAGATCAATCAAATAGAAAAATAATTGTAAGCAGTAGCCCTAGTATTGTTAGAGGCTATAAAATAAATAAATATGGAAGCTATATACAGATTATAAAAGAACAGCACAGCCAGATTAAGACCAAACAATGTTACATTTTGGTGGACAACCAAACAGTTCTTGGAGCTATCCAACACAAGATTTATCGGTTTCAGACTTTTTTCGCAAATAGGATTGGAGAGATTCAAAGTAGTTCACTGTTACAAGGCTAGTGGTGGAATCCTGGGCAACTCAATGAAGCTGACATTACCACTCGAGGAGGCCCACCTAAAAAACTTGACATCAATTCAGAGTGGAAGCAAGGGCCAAAGTTCCTATGTCTCCCTGAGTGAGAGAGGCAACTTTTGTCAGCAAAATATATCTATGGCAGCTCAACAAAGGATTAGCAACATGCAAAAGAGGTCATTTTTGGCAGCACTCTTCAGAGAGCTCCTGGTAGTACAACTGTTCAAAATATGGTTGAAGAAAGACCCTTCAGTAGTCACAAGAGTCTAGTTAGGGTCCATAAAGTCCATAAAGAACCCAAAGTGGGAAGAAGTGGCAACAAATAGTGTCATTACTGCCTCAGAACACCAAGATGAGCTGAGAGACATTTTCAAGCTGCTCATAAGGGAGTGACTTTCCTTGCTACCACTACAGACCACTTGGTTGTGAATCAAGAAGAAGAGACGGGGTTACTAGTATATGGTGGGATGATCCATGGCTTCAGAGAAGACTGCATGGCAGTCTCTCTCTGTCTATTTAACATATGGGTCTTCACTTTGGTGGTCACATTTGGTGACAACTGATTGCTTCAATGGCCGTGTTGAGCTTCAGAGGAGTGGGATAGCATTTTGTTTTGTTGACCGTTTGCTTTAGCTTTCCAATCATGTACGTTAAGATCTGTTGTGAGTGACTATGTAAGCCACAGGACAAAATTAAAACACCAAAAACGTATTCCTGGATTCAGTGTGCATTGCTGATCAAGAAGGCAACGTGTCATACGCATACAGGATCCTATCTCTATCTCTCTAAAGGCAAAGATTACTATGGAGTCGCTTCACCAGACCTGTAGGTCCCTTTGCGTTAGGCACAATGGACCTGTGGGAACCATACCATGTCAAACGACGCTATTAAGAAACGTGTGTCAATTAAAGTGTGGGGTGTCATCTTCACCAGCAGAGTGATTCACGTTGACCTGGTCGATTCAATGTGGGCACAAAGTTTTTTTTTAGTCTTACCAGCGGTTTGCAGCGATTAGAAGACACCCAATATCTGGTAGGACCCAGGAACAAATTTTATTGGTTCCAAATCTGTCAAAGAACTGTATCAGTTCCTGGATTGTCAAGATACAACTGGAATAGAGAAATTCACCCAGCTCACTCACCAATATCGAGTTGAGGCTGCAGAAGTGCCTGTCCGCATCCTCAAAAGGGCATTTTAGAGCATAGGCACCATCACAGTCTTGAACTACAAGTTTCAAACAACTCTGCAACTTGCTGCAAACCTTCCAATGAACGTTCAATAGATGCCAAAGTGCAAATTTACTTTGCAAGTTACCCTTACAAGAGATTAAGAGAGATAAGGCACCAGCTTGCTGGTCCCAACTAATTTGTGAGAAGCAAATGGCACAGCTCCCTTTGAAATGTAACTGGAAATATGGTTTGGTTATGCGTCCAAAATGCAGTGAGGTGCCAGTTCAAATTAGGATGGGTCATTGATGTCTACACAGATGGTAATAGCATTTGTCCAGAGTGGTCAAAGTGGTCAAAAGCCACTGCCCTACTATTCCAAAACTTAAAGTTCTGAGGGAAGCTGCAAAAACAATGGTCCTACATAGAAACATTCAACGCCTAGTGATTCTTTTGCCAGTTGAGGAGCAACTTTAAAACTGAAGAGAAAACTCACATATGCTGTTTCTGCTACCTATCCATTGGTTCCATGGGAAGATTGAGTTGAAGGTGTTCTGGTAAACTGCCTGTCCCTTCTCACTGCCAATCAGTGAAAAGGACCACGGCAATCAGAGTGCACCTGATACAGGGAAATGCCTTTGTTTCTGACTGAGTGGGGAGAACTAGGAGGGTAAGCATATGCTTCTAGCAGAGGAAAAATCTAGTCAATGCACAAAGTAAAGCTAACTACAACACCAAAGTACAGCCAATTTTCTACCTTTGATTGTGACTTGACAGATGCTAAATCATTGTTTAAAGACATAAACCTTATTTGAAATATTAGACATTTTGCTTTTGCCCAGGAAATGTATGATAAGTTGGGTTTAAGAAATACAAGGCCACATAATAGGCGTATGTTAAGGTAAAGAAAAGAATGTATTGATGTGTGAATGCATGAATACATCTGGAAAAATACAAGAGCTTTAACTTATATAATTGTGTGTTCAACTTAAATCTTCTTTGACAACTAAATTTTGACTTAAGATGCTTTGGCTGTACACATTTTATTTAGATTTGTTTGACTAAAACGATACTGGTTACTAAGTCGAATGACGAAAAAATATTTGGTCCAATTTAATTAAAACGAATTTGGAATATATAAATATATTTTAATCTAAGGGGTAAGAAATTTTTTTTTTAAACAATTTCAAATTTTTTACATTTTGTCTATTTTTTTTCTCTTTGTTGAGGTCTTTCACATAATTGACTGTGAAATCATTATTTAAGACACCTAATAAAAGCAAACCAAGTAATCTAAAGGCTGTTTATTGGTGAAATCCTGTTGAAAACTGCAATATAGAGGTCATCCCTTTCAAGTAGGGAATTGCAAAAAGAAAGCCATCCAGAACTTCACAATGAGGTCCAGAAGGATATGGGGTGTCAGCATTTGGCAACATGTCCAGAGGTCATTCCAACCAACTACAATGTTCTTACTCCACAAAAAGTGAAGGGACAAGAGATAAGGGCTGTAATTTGCTGTATTTAAATTGAGCCAGTGGGTTTGATCTCATCTGACTTGGTTGCATAGTTTTCAAGTTTTTAACCTTCAAGCTAAAGCTTAAAACTTTCCATAGAAAGGTGCAAATTTTGCTTTTGTCTCAGCCTGCATCTGCACACCATTAAATGAATAATTACGTACGTTTAGACTCAAGTTTCTGTTTAATTACAGACATATTTATTTATTTTTCATGCAAATATACAGTACTAGGCACATATTTATACTCAGGCTGTCCTTCTCCGTCTGTGTAACTTGACATGGTCATGTGACCACCTTAATCAAGAGAGATACCTAAGCTAAAAGTTGTTGTTGGGCAACAAAACAGATATGACACTTACCTGATTAGAAACATTTTAGTTCTCTGATGTAGGGTTTAATCTAGAGGGGTGAATATGGCCTTGAATGTACCACTAACCCCAGGACTTTTGAATCTGCTGGTCCAGTGGTCTGCTATCAGATTCCAAAAGACTAAGGGAAACTGTTTACTTTTGCCACAATGCAGAGTTGCCAGTTACTGTCAGGTGTGCTAAACCTGAACGATACAAGTCTAGTGCCCCTTATGGCTACAAGTTTCACAGTGTTGTTTTAAAAGAAAATATGGAATATATCCTTAATTGACTCTGACCTCAGGCATTGTTAATTGTAGGAGATTTAATCTGGCTCACACTCAGAGTGTTGCTCAAGGAAGTGACTCTAGAGCAAGAGAAAAGGTTGAGGCTGTACTGTTTTATTTATTTATTTTTTCTTGTGATGTCCAGTTCCTGGGGACTGGGGGCTGAAAGGAAATTTGACCGTACATGATCCGACCAGTGACACTCAAGTTTCTGATTTGAGGTTTCAATTTAAGAGAAGTCCAGATTTTTTAGCAATTTAGACTGCACTTGATCCACTGAAAAGCAGGCTAAATCAAATAAATGAGATGAGCATAAGGTGGGCATTTTGAAGCTCTGTGTCATAAGAGCAAACATCAAAACTAAATGTTAAGAAATTTATCCGAAAAAAAAAAAAGAAAAAAACATTTATGGGGGGGAGACCAGGTTTTCTACAAAAACACCCTTTGCACCTAATGCACTAATCCTTATTTAATGGGTTAAATAAGCTTATCATCATCTAAAGAGGGCCAGGGAAGGTGGGTTTTATGAGAACAAAATATAATGTTTTTTTTCTTTCTTTCTTTTTTAGTTAAAACTTCTATTTGCATACATAGATAGGCCTCCAATGAGTGCCAAAAGGGGGGCGTGAGCCTGCGGTGGGACCCTGAGTCAATTCTTGCAAAATCAACCCCTGGCTCAGACTAAGTTATTAAAGGTAAACAAATATAAACAACGATTAGTGATCTGGGTAATACCAACTAATGGCCAGGCTTAAATCCGAAGTTTTACGAGATCAAAACATTAAATGTAAAAAAAAAAAAAAAAAAAAAAAAAAAAAAAAAAAAAAAAAAAAAAACACCACTGCATTGACTGAGATCCTGCAATTAAAATGATCAGAGGAGCCAGCATCGCGCGTGAAGCAGAAAGATCACTGAAAATGGACCGTATCGAGTATATGAACAAAAAGTCATTTTTTATTTTCTTATTATCTTAAATCTTGTTTAATTTTTAACAAAGAAATTCAATCATTCGCATAATATAGAAAGATTCACATGTCCTCTTTAAAAGTCTGTTTATGATGGTGTTTATACCTTTCTTCAGTCCCAACAGTTGCATATAGGTCTCCCCGCAACTCTTCGTGTCAAATAACAGTTGATTTTAAAACAACAGTTTTTTTCCATGTATTTTCTATTTTAAAAGGAATAATCCTTCACCTTTATTGTTTCCAGTTCCAGAGTGCACAATAATTTGCACATTGGAATGGATAGACTTTTGGCAGGGAAAAATGCAGCAGCCCAAGCGGATTAATACAGTTTATAGCAGAGAGAGAAAAACATTGTCTCGTGAAAAAAAAAAGTGCCAAAGACAAGTATTAAACTTACCCGTTTGGTTGATGGGAATTCCCATTACATTGTACTGCAGGTGTCTGTGCGCAGCGCCTTCTCCAGCACTGGACCCCTGATCCACTCCAGCGCTCTCCAGGACAGCCGGTTGTCAGCCCAAAACGTGACCAGAATATTTCTTCTCCGTTTTGTCATAAATATTACAGCGGGAGGGGGGGAAACCCTCCGCGCCTGCAGATGCAGACCGCTGCAGCCGCAACAGTGCGCCGTCCGCTTACAAATCCACAAACTTAACCTGTTTCTGACGGTCTTTTCTAACAAGGCGCGTTAACACCTGTCCTCTGCTAAGCCGTGGACTTAAACAGCATCCCAAACGCGGACCGGTCAAAGGCATGATGGTGCGCTAACGGCACGCTTGAGCGCAGTTGCTCCATCCCAGCGACCAATAAGGTGATCTGCAAGCGGAGGGGAGGGGAAGCAGGGAGGATGGAGAGAATGGGAGATAGAGAGGCAAAAGGAGTGGTGGTGGTGGGGGTTGGTGGCGTGCATGGGTAGCTTTTCACAAGGACGACCTGAAATTCCTCAAGGGTGAACATTCGTCTTGTAATTCAGCAAGATTTCCCAAATGCGCCTCCTTCCGTCTCGCCCCTAAAACGCATTACGCACACTTGCTTGATCTACCTCGGAGGAAGACATGATTGGATAGAGGCTGGATTTGATGATCTGCACCTCACCACTTTGGAGGAGACTTTAAGACCTATTTCATCTTTGCTGCAACATGTAGGGCTTCCTGTGGCCCTTAGATGAACAGATTCACAGGTCCATGCTTATGGCCTAAATACAGCATCATTCACTCTGTCAGAAGCTGTGTCAAGGTCACTGTTTGTTGAATTCCTGACCTTGTACCACAATAAATAAACACGTCCCTGTCAGAGCCACTCAGGCTTGGAGACTTGGATGTCCAGATGAATGTGTGAGATAATATGAGAGAGGGTCAAATCTGGGCTGCCTGATGAGAAAAGGAGCCCCAAACTTCCAAAATCAACATCCAGAATGAATGAATGAATAAAATAAAATAAGATTAAGCAGAAAACAAAAGAAGCCCAGAGACTGTAAATAACTGTCTTGTTTTTATTAAATGGTGAAAATAGCTGCTGTAGACAATTTTTTCCAAAAAGTCTTTTTACTGCAACGGAAATACTTGTGTTTGATCTTTAACTCTCACGAGCCATGCCAAATTAATAATAATGATAATAATTGAACATCATTGATCTCAAAATTCACTTCTGCATCTTAACCCATCCCCTGGGAAGCAGGGGGCAATGTGGGGTCAAGGGTTTTTAATCAGGAACCAAGAGTGCTGGCTGTGGGGATTGTACCGGGTACTGCTCTAACCCACTAGACACTTAGACACTTAGACAGCAATCATTTAATGGCTCCACAAATAAACTAAATGAAACTAAATACACACCAATTGCCGAATCTGAATTTTTATTCTATAAAAATATATAGTCATTATGTCAATCATGGTTTAAAACAAGGGGCCCTTGGACCTAGAATACAAATTAAAGGATGGTTATAATTATTCCATCACAGAAAATAGATGCCGGTTGATGCTTTTTTAGACATTTCTTTTATTGCAGTATGATTAGAATAAAATGCAGCAATAGTTGTCCCTTTTATTGTTTAGTTTAGTGCATCCTACTAGAATTCTATATTGTGATTGCTGTGATTTATGATAATTATAAAAAGTGATGTGATAATCACCTCAGCTTTCCTCAGTTCCGCTTTTGCAAGACTCCTTTGAGTCGTCATACAACAGTCCAGCTTTTATCCTAATTTTACTCCTTTATTTACCGTTCTCAGTATGTATACTGTGTAAAACCTGAACATTTACTTTCCAAAAAACTTGCCTCCTGTTGGCCTGGGTTTGGGCACTGGCAGACCCCAGAAAACAACAGTTGCAATATTCAGTGACTCATCTTATATTTAAAACTGTAACTGGAACCTAGCAAGGTTTAAAAACAGTAAATTCCAAGGTACTCTAGATAAAAAAAAAAAAAAAATGTCAGACTCTAGCTCTATGTGTTGAGTCAGATATGTCATCCAGGCACTATCTGTATACAGGAAATATTGCAAACATATTTTTTTGCTCAAACATTACAGCTGGAATAAAAAAAGCAAAACTTTTGAATTAAATGTTATCACTTAAACATGCTTATGCATGTTTGAGACATTAAATTCTCACAAGACTTAATTCCTTTTCTCATCAAACAAACCCACCGGTTGAGCAACATTTAAAGGCTTTTCTGCATAGATATTTGTCACCGTCATGGGGAAATGGAAAGAAGAGACTGTAGCACCCAAGGGGTCATTGATGAGCAAGTTAAGTGCGACACAATCACAGAACTAATGCATACCATGTAATACATATGACGTGTTTTGTTTTTTTGTTCTGCGGAGGTGTTTAAAAGCATAAACAACCTACTAAAATGCCATTGTTTGTGTAAAATCTAGCTGAAATTCTCTACTAGAATAACATTTTATTTGTGTACTTTGCAAATCGTATCCAGTTTTTCATTTTGGTCCTTGATGAGAGTCCATCAGCAGTCTTTTTCTTTTATCATATACTGAAAACCTTCCCACTGTATTCTACAAATGCTTTCCAGATCTATTGGATGGTGAAGTCACATTGTTCATCATTTACCTCCACAGTTCCTGTTTCTTTTTATACTATACTCAGGCAATTATTTTAAATTTTCCTTGTATAAATTAGTTTTAAGTTATTCTTAAAGTGACTGCAATGCTTAAATATAATTTTCCAAATACTAATATGAAAAATAATATACTTCTCCAAATATTTAAGAAACACAGAGAGCAGAGGTAACCAATTAAAAATCAGCAGGGTCCAAATAAATAAAATCATCAACCAGTAAAGGTCTGGAGACATTTTTAATTATAATCTGTTACTTTAAACAGAATTTAACACTAAAATAAAATGAGGTTTCTATGCATCTGTGTTATACATTGAATTTTTACCGGTAATTAAAAACAGGGTTCCCGCGGGTCCTTAAAAAGTCTTAAAAGGCATTGAATTCTTCAAAATAAAACTAGGGCCTTAATTGGTATTAAAATGTCTTTAATCAGTCTTTTGTAGGTCTTAATTTTTAAAACATCATAAATAGGATTATTCTTATCATGATTTATTTTTGTAATCTAAATAAAACATTAAAATTGACTTTTTTTTTTATTTAAAAAAAATAATGGCTTGCAATTATTGGTTCCGTCCCGATAGCGGAACCAGTAAAAGCGTTGAAGGTTTTTCTTGTGTTTCTTGTGAATTTGGTCTTAAATTTCAAGTGGCATTAAAAAGTCTTAAAAAGTCTTGAATTTAACTTGCCTTATGCTGTAGGAACCCTGAAAAAAGTAAACAAAAAACAAAAAAAACAAAAGAAAGACATTTTTTCCATTTTAAAATTTAAAGTGTTTTCTGAAGTAGATAACAACAATTGTTCAGTTTGGTATATAGACAATTTCCTGATTCACATATTTTATAAAACACTGGAACTGACTGTTTGTTATTTTTTCTTTCTTTTTTATGGCTTAATGAGAGAAGTGGGGCTTTAGGCTGACCTGCTAGGCTTAACACCTTTGTTTGAATGGCAACAAAGCCATTCTCAAGCACATACTTTATCAAGGTGCTCATTTTGAGCCTGGATCGATATTTGGGGAATCCTACTTTAAAGCAGTAGGTTGAGCCAAACATACTCAAAATGTGCAATGTTATCTTTGAGCACGCCACTTCACTTTCCTTTCACCAGTTCACCGCGGTTCTTCCAACCGTCCAGACTTTCTCTGCTTTCTGTTTCTCATCACCTTCTTTTTTCCGATTGCTTGGCTTGCCAAAGGTTTGCCTGCTGTGTCTAAAAGTTGCCAGCAGCAGTGACCCAGACTGACAGCTCATTGGTTAATTTGTATCATGTGTAGCCTGGACCCGACGCTCCGGAGGGCTTTACCATGTTAACAGGAGAAGCGGCACAAGTGAAGTTAGACACTGTCGTCGGACAACATGCTGTAATTTATAAATGTTCCAAATCAGGTTGGGTCCACAGTCCTCTAATCCGTGACCTCTGACCTAGAGGTTTCTTAAGTGGAAAGGAGTTGCCACTGGAGGACAGTATTAAGGCAGGAGAGGCATGCAAGAACGATTCAGTAGTTGAAGACGTTTTGATTTTGACGACACACAGCTGATCCAACTGTTTAATTTAAACAGAGCGGGTACAATTTGTGTTACGTACTTAATATTGGACGTACTGTAATCTCACAAGTTACCACCTACAGCAGAGCTTCATTTTGGTATTGAAAGCTGTTTTAATGCATTTTTATTATAGTTTACTAAATAAAAATACTGGATCACCTAAACGCGACCACAAGATTATCTTGTGAACATGCATTAATAAATCGTGGATATGTGATAAACATTTTGGATTCTTCTTTTTAATAGTCCTGCATATGACTAGCAAAACGTCCCCAATCGCTCTGCTTCTAAAGTTACACATAAATGAGCTGCATTATTAAAAAGGATAAAAATGTCAATTCCCCACGCTGCGCAAATGACCAAAATATGTTTTAAGTATACTTTTAGTGACATACATAAACTGGTCTGGAAAAAACTTCTCATTAGAGAATAAGAATTGTTTTGTTGTTATTGTTTAATTTGTCACAACAATGAAGTCGACAAACTGTTGTTAAAAGCCATTATCTGGATCCAAAACGCCATTGCAAGTGTTTATGCAAATTAAAAAGTGACATCACATTTCACCTATTTCAGCTTAATTTATTGACTTCTGTTAAATCCAGAATAGAATTCAAAATACTTTTCTCACGTATAAAGCTCAAAATAATCATACTCAATCTTGAATCAAAAATCTGATTGTTCCGTATGTTTCTAACAAGTTTTAAAAGTAGAATGGGAGGCTTGTCTTTTAGCTATCAGTATATATGTATCTTCCATGTAACCATGTACCAGTTTTATTCCTTGAACCAGACCCTCTGTCCAGGCTTAAAACTTTCCTTTTGATAAAGCATAGATTTAAAGTGTCTCAGGTTATCTTTAGCTTTTTCATTACTTATGTTGCCATAGGCTTAGGTTGTTGGAGGACATAAAGACAATATTTCATCACCCCCCTTTATTCTATTTCTATTCTTCAATTCTGCGTTATCTGTTAGTTAAACTCCTAACTTTATATCCCTTCTTTTTTCTGTATTTGTAGCTTCCTGTTGTCTGGTCCCGTTTCGCCTTGACAATATCCTGCAGGCAAATCTCAGCTAAGCTGCTGTCATTAACAACAATGATTATAGATGACTGAGGGGGTTTTTCAGTGTTTAGGCCTGTTTCTCCACTAGACATACACGTAGCTATGGGCTCAGCTTTCACAATGACTAACTGTATGTGCTTTCTTTCATCCCTTTTAACATCAAAACCAACTCATAGCTT